CCTGGCAGCATCTGGCAGCCAGATCTAAAGATTACTTCAAGACACAGGAAGCTGACGCCAACCGGCCATTCTCGTCGCGTGGTCTGTATCGGGTGGGGATTGGTGGATGGTTTGTTTGTGGATTTTTGTCCTGGTGCTGGCTGTAAAAAAAAGCTTTGGTGGACTGTTTGACATACGCAACGTAGCGATTGTCGGCTTTTATGGCAGATTATTAAAGTCAAAGCACTATATGCTGTGCTGCTCCTGTTGTCATGCTGTTGATTTTGCCAATATTTTGTTGTCGACCCGTCGTCGCCTGCAGTGCTGTAGTCCTGACAATGATATCATGTGATGTGCACAGTAGTTACTTTCTTAATTGTATGTAACTGGAAATGTGGTGTCATGCGAAAATTAATAAATATGCAACTTCGCTATGACTTCATTGCCAAGGCATTGTCATTGCTATGGTAAAGATGGTAAGGTTGGGCTACCAATGATTTTGTTTTTGCTCAGGATTATTTACGCAATTAATAGCCCCGTTTTAGCCATTGTTGTGCAATGACATTATTGCTGTTGATAGTCCTTTGGCATTGTTAATTCAGTTGTTACCAGTCATTCATATATCATAGGCTGCTGTCTCATAGGCTTGACATAGAGTAGTCAACCAATGTAGTACATTGTGTAATGGCACAGGTCAACAGCTTCGTTGTGGCACTACCTCAGCGCTGTACTGTGGCATGACATAATGAACAACGATATGGCTTTTCTACTGCAATCCATGCTGCTTTCATAATAAATTTCATCATGACAAGATGGGTCAAGTGTGCCCTCTTGTATTGATTCCCCGTCTGACATATGATCGACCAAAAACTCGTGATACAATATGCATATCACTTTCAGCAAAGCAGGCAACCAATAAGTGGCATCGCTTGCTCCGCCTGTTTTGATAATCCACAAAACGTAGGTGAGAAAGATGCAAACACATCTTCCACTTCCACAGTCATGCGACATGCTGCAGCCATCAGGCTGCTTTACTAAAACATAAGAGGTAAATCTTGCGTGTGGTGAAATGACACTGCAAACATGCCGACCTTGCACAAGGCTGCAGACATAACGAGTGCATGTAGTTATGGTTGAAGAGGCAAAATGCAAGGAAGTGATGAAGCTGCCAGTGCACACAAGACACATGATAAACATATCACTAGGTGCTGCCCGAGACACCAATAGCAGTATTTTTCCACCATTCTCAGCACCCAGCATCCCACTCAGGTTGCAGTGACCATGACATTGATGACTCACGAGCAATGCTCGCCTGTATACAAAAGTTAGGATGACAATATGATGTGCATCAGTAATAATACGGCTCTATGTTTTCAGAATTCTTAAGGGAATGACAATTTTACAAAGCTATACAATGTGAGCCTATGCTGAGCACGCCCATTAATGAACTGCACGGACCAGCCCCCACTACCAAAAATGAATTGCTGATATGACATGCAATGGATTAATTACATGCTGTAATACCTTAATAGGTTCGAAATGTTGGCAAGATTCTAATGAACTACCAGCTTGTCTCTGTACACCACAACATAAGTGCTAGTGTTTATCTTAGTTTGCCAGCATTCCTTTGTCATGTTGAAACACAAACATGAAGGTAGAGGTAGGCATCGATATATCACATTTTATTGGGGATCGGTAGACTTAAGAATACCAAAAACAATGCTCTCCCTCAAAAGTTCAAGTCTCGCGCGCACACTCCCCATCACATCAGGTTCAATACAAGCCACTGGCACACACCACCAGTGATCACCCACATTTCGAGCCCCGATTCACACTCTTTTGTGAAATAAGTGTGATCTCACATTTGAACAGTTCGCGGACTATCAAATGGCAGATTTTCTCGCAATTTCCGCACGGATTTTCAGTCATAACACCGGATTTTATCGCGACCCCCCTTCAAAACAAGGTCCCAGCGGGGGTTCATGGTAATGCGACTCAAGGGGTTCTACTTGTAGAACGTAATTTTGTGTTCTAAATTTAAATTTGTTGCACCATATGTGTGAAATATTTGAAATATATAGTGAAATATATATATATATATATATATATATATATATATATATATGTATATATGTATATGTATATATATATATATGTATATATATATATCTATATATATATATATGTATATGTATATATATATATATATGTATATATATATATATAATTACTGTAATGTTTCCCTTATTGTATAATGCCTTGCTAACCTATAAACCCGTGCAAGGTTGTGTGCTCCGGTACACAAGGCGCCAACTGAGCTGTCTGTAAGAGAGGCATTAGTAGAAAAAACGCCTGCCAAAAGATAGATTTTCCGTCGCGTCTTCTTTATGATAACTTTCGGGAGATTGTCCGTTTTTTGGGTGCCGTGCTTTTTTGCAGTCGGCGGCGTTTTTTTATGACACTGGCCTGTGGCCTGGAAACAAGAAGAAATGACCCGTTGACGAGGAATGCCGCGCAACCCGAAAGCACTCCTGCTTACGTTCGCGACACGCATTCAGCAGCGAAATCTTGCTAACAGTCAATCATCTTCCGCGCATTGTGTCATACGTTACGCGTCATCGCTTTTTCGAATGTACCAGCGGCCACGCTGTTTTGACCATAAGTAGAAAATAACCTGTAACATCACGGCGACCGCATGACGTTTCTATGACATCATCATTGCGGAGGCAACTTTGAAATAGGCTCCAAATAAACCTCTTCGCACTTTTGCGGGCGTGTAACTCAGGACCCAGAGGGCTTTGGGTCTTAAAAGGGGCATGACTGTTAAATGCATCAAAAGGTCTTCAAGATGGCTATTTCAGTTCAAAACTACATACAAATGTGGAACATTCCCTTTTAAGGAAGCAAACGTGTCTTCATCTGGAAATGTGTTTCAATGTGTAAGAAGATAGCAAAGGAGTAGCTCCACAAAAGAGGGAAACCTCGCAGCTATTGATCTTGCACGGGTACATGGAACAGCTATACAGCTGCATGAAGTCACGATTATGTGGATGTGACGTAGAAAAATAGCATTGCCGTCAACAGCAGCATGGTATACTATTTTTTATCACGAAGGATTGAGGGATCCAATCATAGAAACTCACGACTGATACTTGAAGTCTTCAGGGCATCTATGATAATTTGTCTTGTGGAAACCAGCGAAACAGATTTTACCAAGAGGTGGAAAAGACTTTTCTAGGCAACAAAATTTTGCGATTTAGCAACCATGCTTCTCGATAAGCCATGGTTTAATTGCATTATCCTACCGTGCACAACATTGATTGATAGCCAATTGGCGGCCGTTATGTTTGTAAGCCGTGCTCATGAAAGCCAGATAAGAGGAACTCAACAATTACATTTGTATTGGCATTTGTCGCCGCCTTGCTAATGGAATGGCAAGATTTGAATGACGTTACTATGACGCCATAGATGCCTGGGTGACCTTGAAATAGTCTCCCCAAAATAATCTGTACATCTTCACGGGCACGTAGCTCAGAAATTCCAAAGGTTTAGGCCTTGGGAAGAGCAGGGCTGTGAACTGCACCTTATGCTATTAAAAACGCCTTTTTCAGCTCAAAACCTCATGCAAATGTGTAAAACACCGTTTAACAGGGGTGGCGTCCATAAGACTTTATGGGGGGCGTTACTCGGCCAAGTCGTTACAAGTTTCTCGTAGGGACAGTAATGAAATATGTCCTGCTTCTCAAAGACAGCACAAAGATCCCAGCCAGTAAGTCCCTGAGTGGTAAGCATTGGCAAGGTAGACTCTCCTTAGGGTCAAGAACGCTACCTTGGCGATTCTAAGAATGTAGAGCCCCTCTGAGCCACATGGCAACAACGTTTCAACTGTGCGCTGTTGTCATGTTCTTAATTAGGTGAAGCTGGCGTAAACAGTCCGTCATGACAATTGTTCTGTCCCAACTTGTTGTCTAGCAGTAGGAAAGTTGCAACCTGTCACAAGATTTCGCTGAGGCCAATCCACCGTTTTCTTAGCCAGCCTCTTTTATCCTTAGTTTGGGTATGACAGTATGGCCGTTTCGACGTCCTTACCCCCCCCCCCCCCCTAACCCCCTCCATTCGTTCGCGTTTTGAGGCTTAACCTCAATAACGCTCGTTTGACAACAGCATAAATGCAGCCCACCCCCCCACCCCCAACACCCGTCAGGAAAGCCGATGTGAAGAAAAGGCCCTGAAATTGCGGGGCGAGATCTTTTAGAATGCTTACTTTTGGTTGCATTTCAATATTTAAAGGTGAGTTTGTATCCGCAGGGGCTGTCTTGACTGACCCGATGTTAACTAAACGTCAGGTGTCTTCTAATCAGCACTGGTCATCTAGATATCGGTTTTTACAATATCTACCTGTTAAGTCTAAATCTCATTATTTATTTCACTCCCATCTTGGGGATTGCTGGCACTTTCCTTCCTACTTGTGTTTGTTGCCACCATTGGCACACACTGAGCTAAGGTTAGACTTGTGTGGGTTTGCAGGAGGCTAAGCGATTAAGTGCCGAGCAGAACCTTCCACAATAGCTGAGAAATCGACTTATGTTCTTTTCAACCGCGGTTCTACATCTATCGTCCGCTTCGACGGATGGACACGAATTGTGTACGGCATTTTTTTGCAACGATACTGTAAACAGCTCTGACCTATAGGGACAAGGCACGCGACGTTGACCTGATGTCCCTGGATCCCATCTTGGACCGACTACCGTACCCCTGTGACGCTTTTCAGTTAAAAGGCGTGCAGCCTTTTTCAGGCTAAACTACGTGTCGTGCATGAAGTAAAAAGGCATCTTCCGCGAAGCATGGTTGCACGAGGTAGCATTGTGCAAACGTGTGTCAAGTGGATTCCGGCAAGCAGGCAGCTGCCAGGGCACCTAGTGATTCCACGGGTCTTCCTCAGTCCTGGTCACTGTCATGATGTATCTACAGGAGGCCGTCTGGAGACCAGCTCGGCCCTGCTGGTGCTGTTGCTGGCCTGGATGACGGTAGCGTCGGCCGTCTATACGCTGCCGGCCACCGCCAGTAGGGAGAGCAGGCTGCAGTTCTGGAGGGTGACTCAGGTTGGCTGGTCGCCGCCGGCCGCTGCCGTGTACGCCCAATGGCCGGCCAGCTCGGCCTGCCGGTGCCGCCTCCTGTGTCTGGTCCACCGCCACTGCGCCGCCGCCGAGCTGGCCGGCGAAGACGGCGAGCTCTCCTGCCGGCTGGCCTCGCGCCGCGGCAACAGCACGGCCAACACCACGGCGGAAGCGGCCTTCGTGCGCGACGGGCACGCCGAGCTGGGTGAACGCTGCCTCAGCTCCGCCGAGTGCTGGCAGGCGGACCCGGGCGCCGCGTGCGAGGCCGGTGTCTGCGCCTGCCTGTCGGCCCAGCTGACGCCCGCTGGCCGCTGCGCCATCCGCGACTGCACCGAAGTGACGTCGCTCGGTGCCGGCGCCAGCGGGCAGTACGAGATGCTGCTGGCGCCGGGTGAGGCGCCAGTGCAAGTGTACTGCGACATGGAGACGGCCGGCGGCGGCTGGACCGTGTTCCAGCGGCGCCAGGACGACCCCGTGCAGATCGACTTCTCCCGCGACTGGCAGAGCTACCGCGACGGCTTCGGCAATGTCTCCGGCCAGTTCTGGCTCGGCAACGAGCTGCTCCACCGGCTCACCGCCCGCGAGCCGCAGCAGCTGCGCGTTGACCTGGAGGACTTTGAGGGAGGGCGTCGCTTCGCCCAGTACGGCTCGTTCCGCGTCTCGGACGAGGCGGACCAGTACCGGCTCCAGCTGTCGGGCTTCTCGGGAGACGCAGGAGACTCAATGGCTTACCAAAGCGGAGCCCAGTTCAGCACCAGAGATAGGGACAACGACGAAAAACTCATCAGCTGTGCCCAAAAGCATAAGGGAGGTTGGTGGTACAAGGCATGTCATTTCGCAAACCTGAATGGCCTGTACATGAGGGGAGCAACGCCGGAGAGGTCCGGAAATGTCATCAGCTGGTTTCACTGGAAGGGGCACGACTACTCGATGAAGGGCACGGAAATGAAGACAAGACCCGCCCGCTACACTCCGACCTAAGCCTGCCTGAGATCGATCCAATCAATCTAGCCGGCCATACGGCGTTCCGGACCTTCACTTGGCGTTGAGAGCCTCAGAGGTCCCCAATGCCCTCTGAAATAAAGTTTGAAACGGTTTTGAGCATGGTACTGAAATTTTGTTTTAGATGGGTTGACAGCATTTTAACGCATGACGGGTAAATTGAAATCCTGATCTACGCGGTTCGTGATCTTTAACCTGTTCTCGAGTTCCTATCGACGAGATGCTGGTCAAAGTGAAAATGGTGCTTGTTTGTGACAGAAAATGTACTCCGAGGAGCTTTTCTGAGCTGATAAAGTTGTTTCCCTTATTACTCTTATGTGCATCACTGTTATTCAGGCTGCTTCTTTAAAGTCGAGCCGTGTAAGGCCCAGTCCGGCATGCTTTGACCTTTTGGAACAGATTTTGCATTTGAGCTTTATTTGTTTGATATATTATATTAGATGGCGTTCAACGATGCATTTCCTAACACTTTTGGAAGGTCTTTCTAATTCCGTTTTTCCTATTGATGTGGCATGATTCATATTTACGTTCATGTTCAGGTTATTGACGAATCCTCCCAACAAATGGTATATTGTTTGATTTCCCACAGGTAAAATTGTAGCACAAGTGCAATATGAAACAAACGACCATAGCGCGTTGTACGCACACCACACATCACACACATGGGTGGAACTTTGTATCTCCCTGGGGGACCTGCCCCCCCCCCCCCCCTGGACTGAGCTACTCCCCCACCCCAATGTTGAGCCTGACCCCCGCAACATTGGGCTTGGCCCCCGTAAAACTGGTCTGGGCCTCCTCAATTTGTAATTGTTTTACAATCCTGCACTCAAAATTTTACGAACATGGAAATGCATTTCAAATTCAAGTTTATATTTGCCTGTGTCCCTAAGATATGTCAATGTAATTACTGAACTATTTGGTTTCAAATGCTCCTGTACAGCGCTGGTGACATGGGCACAAACGCCGTATTCCAAAACACTGTGAATGACTGTGAAGCTCAAGCGCGTCGTTGCAATGGACCGCGTGCTGTGCAAGGCACATGTCGAACAATAGGTGCCCTATAGCAACAGTGCAAGCTACAAAAAAAAACGCTCCTTAGATTTTTAGGTACACCACTCGGGCAGTTCCAAGATATTTCCACAAGAGAGTCCACGTTTCATTGTGATGCTCATCGGAACCTGTTGACCCCACCCCACCCACCCACAAAATTCTCCGAATTTTGGCCACTTCATTTTCAGGTCCTTTTTACGTAGTGTGTTCAGTGCATTTGTGAGGAACAATATTCACATAGATAAGACAGCAGTAATAGCCTTTTCCTCGGAGAAAGCCAGGAGAATGAGGATATAGGTGGCTTGATATTTCAGCAACATGCCTTTATCGCAACAATGGCAGAAGTGAATTCAAGATTGCATCCTTGATTCACAAGTTGGGAATTTTGAGTTCACTTCTGCTATTATTTCGATGAAGGCATGTTGCCAAAATATTAACCCATTATATCTCCCTTCTCCTAATTTTTTCCGAGGAATAGGGCTATTACTACGGACTTTTCAGATCCTTTTTGTATAATTGGGAAGCTAGCGTGCTCTGAGCATCGTGGAGAGTTAGATCACGGGCATGTATGTGGTTGTACATGGTGTGAGTACGTCTCTTTTCAGAGACTGACAAACCTGCGTGAAACGTCAACTGAAAGCACAATGAAGACACAGGAAGCTGTATGTGCCAGGTCGCTAACCTCAAAATGAGCGGCTGTGCACCATTGGAGCATCGCAACACTACTTGTATTATGTGGCGACGCCTGCCTACCACCCTGGCGGGAAGTCATTAATCCCATCATTGTTAGTCCCATTAATTAATCCCATTCATTGTTAAGTGGGTTGTGACCAACGCTAGAAGCCTTTGGCTTTCGGGGTCTCGCTCCCGTCCCCGTTCAGCAAATGTGCCCATGTCCGACTTGCGGTCCATCGACGACATGAAATCCCTGAAAGTCGTTAATTCATCATAGGCGATTTGACCTCGTGATACAGAAAAACTGTGAACTGAAAGCCTTTCTTTTTATAATAAGTTCAAATTATGATCGGAATATCGTGGGCAAAACCTGTCAATAATGTGTTTCGGAAGGATGGGTAATGTTCATGGGTCCCCCTCCCCCTCCCCCCCCCCCCCTCCAGTTTGGCGCGGGGTTCCTTGCTGATGCGAGAGACCGTGATGGTCGACGACTGGCGGCTCCGGGAGGAGGCCGCGCGACAGGAAAAGGCCCTGCATGCCACCGACAGGCGAAGTGCTGACAGATCGAGTACGCCCACATTTGCCAGCCGGGAGGCACGTTGGCATACATTGCACATGGGGTGAACAGGGTCGGATCTTCACCGGGTCATTAAGCGCCCTGAATACAACGAGGCTGTCACGGTGGGCGACAAGGTCACGAACACCTCGCCAGCCCGGCGCTTAAACAGCAGTCGCTATTCAATTGTGCGGACGAGCATCGGTGACGATCAAATCACTGTTCCAAAACTCCAAAGTTTATCATCTCTTGCACTCTTCAATTTCTATTTACCTCCCTTTGCCATCACCCCTCATCCCTATTACCCGAGTGATACGCTGCAGACCCACCCCAGACCGAGGGACAGCACAAAAGATGCACATAGAAGAGGGTTTCGTCTCCATTATCTCTTCAGGTATCGGTGTAGGATCTATGTTTTGAAGCATTCAGCGTGCGAAAGAAATAATAAACCAGCCTTAAGTGGGAAAGAACTGTCGCCGGATCCTGTCTATCTCCTCGAGGTTCCACGATCATCAAAGCGTAGTGATCGTTTCGTCTACGTACATCGCGACTTCCATTGAAAACAAATGTTTAACTTAACACGCGCGCGCAGACTATATGTATATATATATATATATATATATATATATATATATATATATACATAGCTTATGTATTAGCGCTGACCTTTAACGCATCCGCTGCCACTAACCGCGGGCCATCCCACAGGCGACAAAAAGCGAGCGTTAAAGCGATTCGAACCCATCCCGTCAAGGATGGGTGGATGGGTAAAGCTGGTGCTATTGTAGGCACTTAGACAGGCGCTCCATTAACTGGGCTATAGGGAGGGGCGCACGCAAAGTATCACGGGTGGGGTTGAGAAATGTGAATCTGCATTTGAAATTAGGTACCCCTATGTATGCACGGGTGTCGTGTTGCATGACGTTTGCTGCGTAACATACTGAAGATTGCCTGAATTTGTTTAAACAGTTCCCCAACGCATGATTGTTTCCGACGATCAAACCGTTCAATTTTAAACACAAAAATGCAGTGTTAGCATGCCCCGTCATTTCTCTGGAGACCTATGTTACTCTTTTCGTAATATTACTGTGATCGATGGTCATATGGATGAGCTTGTTTTTTTTTGGGGGGGGACCACCGTCTTTGTCTGGTGTGTTGGTGCTTGCACGTTTCGACGAGTTAGTCATCCGTCCGTCGTCAGGTGTTGAATCCTGAGAATGACTGAGTCATGCTCGGCTTTCAGCTATGTGTGCGTTACAACCCGAATTTTCTCATTGCGGTTGTTGAGATTCGAACCTAGACCTGAAACTTACGAATTCAGCACCCTACCACTGAGCTCTGCTATGTGTACTGTACTTCGTTGCGTAGTCTCGAGGCCTTGTCACGCTGGCGTTGCCAGATTTATTTTGGGCAGCCTCAGGCCGTTCACTCCGTGACGCTCAAATGCGGCCCAAAAGCATGTGAGTTGTTGATAACAAAAGAACCATGCGGATCCTGCATGGAGCTCGAGCCAAGGTGAAAGAAGTGTTTCGTTGAGATATGAATGGTTCCGTGAACTTGTTGCGACTCTTTATGGTAGAATTATGTTTTGCACATCACTAACTCTGTCACGGCTGTTATGGATGAAGCTTTGTACAGGCAATAAGAAGAGTTTCAGCTTTAAAACAGCCCTCAAATAAAGGAACCTCAACCGCCCGCTGTTCAGTGCTCAGTCTATCGTGAATCCGTCTGAGCCCTGATGATTCATGGAACAAGAGCACGGATAACCCAGAAACTCTAGACCCTCTAAACCTCTAGAAAATAGGGGCACGTATTTATTTCCACGCAAATATGCACGCAATGCAAAAGACAGCTACTGACCAAATGCAAGTCGGGTCAGACATGAGTCATCGGCCTCCACGTCATACCCTGGGTGCGGCTACGCTGCCGTCTGACGTGCGAAAGCCGCAGCATTTGGTCACGGCACGCTCTGCGTGTCAGAGTCTGGAAGACTGGCGCCGTCCTAACAGACAAGCCGTCGATCTGACCGTGCTGTACCCGTCCATGCGTGCACAGAGGCAGCGCATGCGACCGAATCCGATCGAGCGCGGGCGCGGCCGTGGCGCGAAGCGCACGAGAGGTGTCTACCCACGTCGGCAGACGGCATCCAGCGAGCCTGACCCCGCAGCGGCATGGGGTGGGCCACAATGAAGGCAGCGGATTATTTTGTCAGCCTCTCGCTGGTGCTGCCCTTGCCTGCACGGATCTGACGGCGGTGCGTGCCGCGCTGGGCCGGGCGAAGCTGATCCCGGCGGACCCAGCGCTAGCGGAGAGCCGCGGCGCCCAGCGGCGCCAGCACAATGATCGCTGCGGTGAACGGGGGCGGCGACCGGAGGGGCCGGGGGACGGGGAGGCCCCCGCGGACCGAGGGGAGACGGTTGTCGACAGAGAGGCGGGCCGAGAGCGCAGGATTGACAGTCGGAGCTCAGAGGGAGCGTGACGAAGCATGGGGCGTCAAACGCCCAAGCCAATGGCGCTGGTTAGGGCGAGGGTAAGACGGTGGAATGGCCAGACAAGCTGGCAATCACGCCGGCCGGGCGGCTGAGTCAGAAAGCATTTCAACGGCGTGGATGAGAACTAGAAGCTATATCACCACGAGCATGCTCATGTCTTTATTAGGAAATGGATGGGTTCCATGCGCTTATGTCCATCAGTGTCT